TTCACCTGAAACTCATCAGACAGAAGAAGTCTCTTGGTGGAGAGACGAAATGTTTCACTAAAGAAAAGTCCATCCAGAGGATTTTGATTTTAATAAAACCTACATAAAATAATATATAATGCCTGGCCAAAAAAGTTTCCACCAAAAACAAAGGTCACACAATTTAAGATTTTGTTGGACCACATTTAGCTTTGATTACAGCACACCTTTTCTGTGGCGGTTTCAATAAGCTTTCTTGACCTGACCAACTGTGGCAACCCCAGATCACTGCCCCACAGGCTTGTACCGTAGGCATTAGGCATGATGGGTACATCCTCGAAGACGATGGGTCCCCACTATCCTTCCAGTTTATAATAATGTGTTGGACAGTTCTTAACCCAATTTGGTAGTTTCTGCAATCTCCTTAAAGGTTTTCTCTGCTTGATGCATGCCAGTGATTTGACCCTTCTCAAACAGACTGACATCTTTGTCACAACCATGGGATATGTCTTTCAACATGGTTGTTTAAGAAATGAGAAGCAACTCACTGCACCAGTTGGGGCTGAATAACTTTACCAGCTGAAAGACAATCACCTATGCAGTAATTATCCAATAGGAGGCTCGTACCTATTTGCTTAGTTAAATCCGGGCAACTTTTTTTTTACTAGTGTTCATCAGCTAATTAACTTTTAGAGTCAACCTGCCATTTACAGAATCAATTCTGCAGTCTATTAAAAGTTATAAAACTGCAGTTTTTTGACACTGATTAAAAAAAGAATCTCCAAATTGGATCGTCACCTTTTGAAAACATCCAGTGAATCTGTCCTGAATTACTTCCCCCATCCTGCAGGTCGTGGTTTCTGCAAGGTGAAACTCTAAACTCTCTGCAGACATCTGTTACAGTGCTTATATTTATGTGGATTTCCATATTTTCAAACTTCACTTTAAAACCATCCAAACTGTTGACTGTCTTTTTCTTCTGCATTTGTTTACTYGGTGTCAGGGTCTCCTGCCCTCTAATGCCAAAATTCTTCATCCCTTTGATGTCAGGGCAGCGTTTCAGTGACTTTGATAAAGTGAAGGTGAATGAACRTCTCCTTCACTGCCTTTAATTACTCAGGAAGAGGCAGATAGAGCCTAATTAATGCCTTCACTGCTCTGYGCCGTATCAAGCCGTTTCATCAGCTGATGTAAACCGTCAGACTCCCCGGGTCGCAGCCGGTAATTACAGATCTGTGCCGACAGTGACAGCTTAAAGCTGAGGCCACAGAGCTTAACCAAGGCCTAAACAGGCGCCTGTCAAGTCAAAATACAAAAGCTGTGTCTGAACACAATRTGTCTTAGCGGAGACGAGCACAGGTGAGACTGGACTGACTGTACGGCTGCTTCTGTACAGACTGTTCATCAAAGAGGTATAATGTACCGAGCGTCTGRAAAAAATGAAATGTTTTGTTGATTTGATGCTGCATGAAGCCTGCGCTCATATCATTTTATTATTTCCAGATTGTTTTTTCTGATTGAATGAAATTTGTCCAAGATGACTAYGTTTATATTAAAGCTCACAGTCATTTTGTCCTCTGCAACCTGAAAGGATCCTGAAGAGGAAAGAAAACCCAACAATTCTTGTGACTAAAAACAAAAAAAAATCCTATACTTTGTAGATTCATTAAAAGACCTTTGATCAAAATATTAAAACGAAGCACAATCAAAAGCCAAAGACAGAACACAATTGGCAAGAAAAGTTTTCAAATATTTTACAGCACAGAAACTTGTCTTTGTGTCTGACCTTATTTATCATGATTTCTGTCTCTCACTCTAAAATTATTAAACATTTTTCCCGACTATCACTGTACTTTATAATCTGCAAACCAAATTTATCATCTCTGTGAAGATTGAAGTTGCAAATGATTTACAAAAGACCAAAGCTCCAAATAAAATGAGTATTTATTTTATTGTCACACTCTTCTGAAAGAAATGTTAACACATTTTTTCTTTCATGGCTCAAACAAAATCCAAACACCAAATGGAAATCCAAAGGTTTAGAAAACAACAGTGTGCTGCTGTTTGTGTTTTTCACTGAGGAGCTGAACTTGCTAGCTGGTCTTGATTTTAAAAAGGGTCTAAATGTCTTTATAGATCCGATTCTGTGGTCAGAATCCAATGAGTCTTAGGTTTTCATCTCATAGAGGTTTTGATCAAACAGTAAYAAAGTGAGGGGGAAGATTCAGTAAGTCTTCTTCCAGGATCGGAGGTACAGCTGTAAGGAGAGCAGTGGGTTTCTGTTCTGCAGGCTCTTATGAAAAACATCAAAATCAGCTTTCCTGACTCTGTGTAGATAGTCTTCTATCACCACCTGCAGCACACAACAAAACAGACAGAGGTTGGTTGAGTTTGCATCAGGTTAAACTGAGCGGCTTCCATTCTGGACTTTTTCTTTCTTGTTTTTAATGAAGGCAGTTTTTTCAGCTGATGAGATTTTTATTCTACCTTAAAATAGATTCAATTCATTCTTTCTAAGTCTAAAATCAATACTCTGTTACACAAGAGGGCCAGAACTCAAAACTTGGTCCAAGCCAATTTATTAAAATAATAATAAGATTTTTTCTTACCAAACAATATTTTATGTAGAGTTTAGAGCATACATTCCCTAACGAATAATAATAAATAAAAAAATGTTTACATTTAGAAATACACATTAGCCTTTATTTCATAGATCTTACACTCTACTCAACCATTTCATTGACTATTTCTTAGAGATACATTTTGTCACAATCCAACAAATCTGTTACAAAGATGAAAACCTTCACTTAAAAACCATTTGACAAGGCCTGGCCAAAAAAAATATTAGTACTGATAAGTCCTCAAATGTAGTACTTACAGTTGGTTTGAAAAATGTTATATTAACACAGGGCTAGGCAAAACTTCCATGGATAAGAAGAGAAAACCAGAAATGATGCATTACTTCATTACAGCTAAACATGCTGATGGCAACATTATTTTCCAGACATACTATATATATA